ACTTTCATTCATTTTCTTGGTTCTTAATGTGTAGTATAAGTCATTTGAAAAGCTTCATTTGTAATCTTTGCAAATTTTCCATATCCTAGCAACTTACAAAAATAAAGATTATGTAAAGTCTGATTGATAATTGTTTGGTTCAGTGGTAGGATTATCTCAAGATCCCTACTTGTACAGAATGATTAGTTTTGCTTCTTCACATTTTGAAGTTTAGGTAGTAAGATTACACATAATTATCTGTTTCTGTGGATTTGCTTCTTTGTAAGAAAATTACTCTGTATTTGAGTGAAATTCATTCTGTTGCTCTCTTACCACTTCTGCAAATTTTTATCTTAGCCACATATAATCCCCCTAGTTTGTTGTCATCTAAACTTAATGAACATGTTCTCTATTCCATAAGCCAGGTGATTGGTGAAAACACTAAACAACCCTGAGCCCAGGGCCAACCCCTACGGAACACCACTACTTTACCCAGGTTGATATTGACTTAATTCATATTAGCTGCATGAATATAACCCTATAACTAATTGTACAAGCATCTCGTGTAACCTAGATTTCCAAAACTTAATTATTTATGAATATAATTTCTCATACACAATCAGAAGCCTTGCTATTTCTGTCTTATGTATAGGTATATTACACTTTGTATCACAGAAATCGGTTTAGTCACACTTCCATTATTAAGTTTATATGACCTTATTGTGTATTATCTGTAATTTTAAACGTTTTGGCAAGGCTTTTCTTCATTGTCTTAAATAATTGAGAGGTGGCTATATTTTGAAATGAGAAGTTATTTTTAAATTGTAGAAATTTTTAAGTTACATTTATACCATTAATGGGCTCACATTCAAAGTCTAAATACCAAACTTTATATGTGTAAGTTTGTATCTTAGTTCTTAATTACTCATTTTGCCAGCATTAAGGTATTTAATTTTTTATATTCACAATCTTAAGAAGGAATGCTGAAGTACAGCTCTAGCTGACTAGGTTGCCTGCTTTCTCCATTGTGTCTTACAGGCGCCACAGGTCATCTTCTGGATCATCCCATTCTGGTTCCCGTTCAAGTTCAAAAAAGAAATAATGTATTAAAATTTACATCAAAAAAAAATCAGTACAGTGCATGAAGCATATTTTTAAAGAAGTTGGTGTCTTACTTGGTCAGAAGTGCTAAATCTGCTAGTAGAGGTGCATGCCTTCATTGCTTCTCAGAACAATACACCTGTGTTTATTTGTGAAGTTAAAAGTAAATAGCATTTTAAGCCATAATGTCTCAAAATAGATGCTCTATTTATCATTTATTATTTACAACCATTTGCTTCATCCATCAACCATCTCAGCTATAACAAAGTACTTTGTTTCCTGATTTAGACTCCTTGTTTTTCTCATTTCCAAATATGTCCTGTCTATTGGC